TTAAATTTTAATGTCCTATGTTCTTCGTTTTCATTGATCGGCCATTGTTTTATTGGCCAATAGGATAAGTATATATATGTCGCCCACACTCCTCGTGCTGATCCCATCTACCAGTGTTACCGAATCATAATCCCGCTATGCGCTTGCATCTTAGGCTGCTCCTCACAACGACGTGTGTTGTGTATGAGTTCTGTGAGTCATGCGCAAGCGTCTGCCAACTCCAGACACTAAAGTCTAAGGGCTAGTTACACTACGATTTTTAGTCAAGCTTACGGTCTCCGTAGTCACTCTCACACACTCAGTCTAATTAGATATTAAGTTCTCCATTGATCTATGCGTATGTACAATTGTACACACTATGTACTTTCAACTAATTATATTTACAAACACATTACTTTTTCTTAAATATAGACTAAATCTAACCAACTACACATTTCTTAAACTCCCGCCATTTTATATAATTTATAATATATTACATCTTTGTTTCCCTTTTATGGTTAATTCATATCCAACTTTATATTTGCTATGAATTAAGGAGCTTTCACAATTCTAATAACCATACAAATAATACGCTTTGTTTTTTAACAATTGAAGAAAATTGAACAGAAAATCAAGTATATAACTCACAGAAGCAACGAGAGAAGGCACCAATAATTTCCCGATGTCATGAAAATTCATTACATTACTGATGATATTTATGTTAAGTGTTATTCATGTTCGAAATAATCAAATGTACCCTAAAAGTGTACGTTTCCGTTGCTATGGAACGAGACGAGACGATAGCGATTACAATTTGGCCTGCCGCCAGAAAATATCGATTGGTGCTATGTATATATGTAGCTATATACTCGTACTTAATACTGTAACTGTCTCGACACGATCAATTATGATAAAAATCAACCTTGTCATATTGACAAAGTAAACTCAGATATCGTCTTCCACCTCATGTTTGTATCTAGGATTTAATAGCTGTTTTACTGCGACTTCGCCCGCTTAAATAATCTATGTATGTCATCCGCATATAAGGTAGCTCCCATAGGTAAAAGAATTTTCAAAATCTGTAGAGTAGCTTTGGAACCTATTCAATGCAAACAAACAATAAAATCTTTACTCTTTACAATATCAGTATAGATAACTCTATAACTGTGGAACAGGGCAAAATCGTACAGTGATACGAAAACAGAATCATACAAATTGACTTATATTTTACGTATAATGTAAGTACTTGTTTTTAGACCTCATTCCTTTATCTGAGACAATAATACCACGAAGTACAAAAACATCGTCTAAATATTATGATTTTCTTCTTGAAATATAGATTCATTTTACTTTGAACATCTATCTTGTCATATAATAAAATAGCTTTCATATATTTCTTAGGTTAGTTTAGTTTTTTGTTTATCAGTTGTTTTGTTTGTTATAAACATAAGTTCCTAAGAATTTTGGAATAACTCTTGAATTTATTATGTTTTTATTGAATTTTTGTCGGAATAACACAAACTCCTAAACTAACCAACTCTCTCACAATCCCTTCTCAATCTACGCTTCTCTCATACATAGAAATTTCATTATATTTATTATATGAAAATAACATTACTCATATAAATTACATACATACATTGAATTTTGTATAGATTCATTTAAAGTTTAAATTAATTTTGTTTATTACAAAAGTTAATATTACATTTATTTTAAGAAAAATGATAATAATACTTTTTATTTATTTAAGACAGAAGAGGACTGTCCATCTTAGGTTTCAAGTATTTTAAGACAATTATGGTATTTGAATGCAATGTCAAAAATAAAATCGTATAGCATCACATATATTGCTTGATAAGTAACTATAGGTATAGCCCTTGCATTATGAAAATCAGATTCAACGAAGACCCGAGACAAATAACAATTAACTACTTTAAAAATCTAAAATAGAATAATGAGACACATTTCACAATTCATATTACGTTTTCAGTTTCTCATATAAAAATGTTTCTTTTTTGTGATAAGACATTGTCAAAAATCGGATTTCGCGTAAAAAGGAGGTAGTTTGCAACCGTCGTGCGAGCACGTACCAACCTTCTTGGAACCCTCATTGTCCCAATGATGTTTCGGCGTCTGTATAATATTGTGACTGAGTTTATTTGCGATTGTTGTTGACGAAAATATAAATAGCCTTTATCGATTTTCATGTAACAATTACACACGCAATTTAATTATCTTATATGAGATGAATAATTGTTTTTGAAATACTTGTTTTTTTTTTATCAGCTGTAATATACCAATTACTAAGGCATCGGCCATTCCTATGAAATGAAATACGAGGCATAGCTAATCACGCGGATCTACAGATTTAGAGTGCCTAAAGCGTAAGTCAATTTTCAGATTGATGCTTCGATGTGCTTTGACTATACGCCAGTATGAACGTACCCTAAAAGATCCAAGATCATATTTACTCTAGCAGCAACGGAGCCAAGGCCCCGAGCCGAATACTGCTAATACCTATATAAACCAACCAAAAACAAGGCATAGCTTAACTAGAAAACGCAATTACTTACTTCAATTCCAAATAAACATTCTTTTATCCCTTGTCACATTTTGTTCATATTACGCAAATGCTAAGCGCAAGGTGCCGCATAACGCATGTCGTCTTTAGACATTGCTTAATGTTGTTAGGTGGCTCCTAGTCCTTGATGAAATGCATTTGCACCTTAAGCAGTTCCTTAATATTTGGAGAACTCCAAAGTTTAGTGAAAACGGGCATTAGTGTCACATGTTAATTTATTTTCATTTTTTATCATCACTGACACTCAGTGCCTAAAGAGTTCGTATGCGTCCGAAGAATAGAGAAATGCTTGTTACATAAAGGTAATATCTGTAGTCATTGTCGCGGAATCCCTTTGAATGATTGACTGTTTGTTTTAGACGATCGATCGCACGGTTCTGATTCATGCATTCCATGCGCACGCTCACCAATCACGCCGACTGTTTTAGCTGGATATTTAAACAATTTGTAAAAGGAAAAATGAAAATAATTTATTCTTTCTAGTGATAAAATAAAATACATTAGCTTTTCTCGGTAATCTAATGAAAAATTATAGAGCTGAAGAGTTCGTATGCTTTAACGCGTGTCTGGCTGCATTTTGAATTATATGTATCTGTTATCGACAGCTTTAGATTTTATTTAGATTTACTTAGATTTAAAGATAAATTGATCAAAATACAATATATTTTGACCACGCTGACGTAAAAATACAACCAAGAAGACATTCAGCAATAAAAGTCACAAAAGTCATAAATATTTAAACAAAAAAAATACTAAAACATCTAAACAGATTGAGAAAGCTGTTCCCTTTCTTTCAACTCTCCTTAAAAAAAAGTGTAGATTTTGTATAAAAAAAAATCTTTCATATTGCTTTGTTAATATTTATCTTAAAAGACCACTTACTGTAAAAGCACTATGTTCGACGCTATGTTTTTACAGAATATTAAAGCTCTCTACTAACTGAACTCAGGCTCATATATAAAATGTATTTCTGTGACTACGGAATTTTTTCAGCTACTTTAAGGAATTACGCTCACTACCAATAAAAGTAACAAGCGGAGCAGACACCAGATAGCTCGTTTTCTAGAGGGTTTTCACATTTTCCCATGAAAGCTTAACATGTTAAAAACAATGATAAAAGATCAAAAATACGGACGAAAGTTCACAAACCATGAGCGCGCAGAGAACAGCATTACCCTTTTTTATTGATATAGACTTAGATAATAAATAATTATTTCTTAGGCCGGCTTTTCAAGTATTCTTCTATTTTTTGTAATGTTTTTAGTGTGCAATATAATTTATTCTATTCTATTTATGGCTCATCATAAATGGCACGTTTTGTTTCGTTTTCTTTAATTCATTAACTGAAACATAAATTGGTAGTCGTCAGTGACAGCGGCTAGTCTTTGAGCCTTATAGAGAACAACAATCGTTCACCTTCAGAGGTATAACCTGGATCAATCCCCTATACATTAGGTACAATAAACTCAAGGATCTGTCACATACATGTTTCTTAATATCAAGATGAATAAAAAGTCAAAATAACGTTTATTAAAATGGGTAGCATACAAAAATATCTCTTGAACGGGTCATCTTTTCTTCCTACTACCCATCAGAACTTCTTTTGACTGTGGGTATAGAGCCAGAAACTACAACAAATAAAAAATTCCAATGAAACTTTTTTATTTACATTTAACTTTACCTTACTATCTTAATTGTTTTAAATAAAGAAAACTCTTTATATTAAATACTAGTGGCCGCCAGCGACTTCGTCCGCGTTTTCCATTATTTCTTCGCTCCTAATAGTTGCAGCGTAATGTTATATAGCCTAAAGCCTTCCTCGACAAATGGTCTATTCAACACAAAAATAATTTTTCAATTCAACCCAGTATTTCCTGAAATTAGCGCGTTCAAACAAACAAACAAACTCTTCAGCTTTATAATATTAGTATAGATTAAGACCCTACAGACATTGGTCGGTTTCAGTTCACTTTTCCCACAACACGCACAACAAAAGTCATACGTTGGTTCACAAAGCTCTAAAGCACCTAATCCAATCTTAACTTTTTATTAATAATTTTAAATGCTTTTAAATTTAGTTCCTGTGTATGTACTTATAATAATTATCACCAGTCTATTAATTTCCCCACTACTCTGGATCAGGCCTTCCCTATGAATGAAATCACGCAGGTCCAGTGCGGATTAGTGAGTAATAACGACTGCAGGATCAATGGCTAACCATGTCTTCCGAAGTATGAAAGTGCTCAAGATGATAATTTTTTGGACACCCATCCTATGACTGACTATTGCGAAAGTTGCTTAACAACCATATCATCGACCGAGTGCGTTAATCACTACCCTATCGAGCTTCCTTTGAACTTATATAAGTTGTATGTATGTATCTGTATCTGATGTACATATATATGTAGATTATTTAACAGCTACAATGTATTGTTTGCAGTGTGAGGAGGGTATGTCAGCGGGTGACATGTGCGTGTCAGCGGCACGAGCAGGCCCGTCAGCGCGTTGGCACCCAGCGTGCTTTGTGTGCTCCTCGTGCCAAGAGCTGCTGGTAGACCTGGTGTACTTCTGGCGGGACGGCAGGCTCTACTGCGGCCGACATCACGCTGAGACTCTCAAACCTAGATGTTCAGCATGCGATGAGGTAAGAAGTTATTAACATCCATTTTACAGAAAATACTTTAAAAAGTGATAGATTTTACTGGTTGATTTTATTTAGATTTTATTGGCGCTTTAAAATAAAGTATATTTTTAACCACTCTGATGTACAAACACAACCAAGGATAAGTAAAGCAATAAAAGTTTTAATAATTCAAATAAAAATTTATGAAAATACTTCATAGGCGGGCTAAGCTGTCGTCAAAAATGGCTTATACTCCCAAACATCAATAAATCGTATTCGTACTTTCACTACTAGTGACCACATTTTCTTAATATTAAGACAAATTACCGCAAGATATACTACGCATAATGTAACGTCATGTTTCGATAGGAAAAATTTTATGTGTAAGGTGAAGTTATAACTGAAAAAGGGGTGAAGTTAAAACAGTTATGCACCTTAAATACTACTATGTATATCAAATGGCGGGAATTCCCCGAATTTCCCCGCCACAATTTAGGCGTGTCAAGATACTCCATCGACGCCGACGGTTGCGCACGCGCCGGCCTGTGTAATCGTCGGTTTCGCCAATATCCGGCGGCGATGCGATCGTCGCGCCACCTTGAGATTGAGATGATAACTGCACATGAATGCAGGGGGAGTGTAAGTACCCCTTTGTAAGGGCGAAAGGATGTTATTTAAAACAATTTTGGATATGTAATTATAGAGCACGAACATATTCATCACTGTCTGAGAATTGCATAATTTTAAAACACAATTTATTGCAGAATACTTACTGAGGTGATTTGTTTATGCATTAAGTACAGTCGCCCTGTCTTTGCGTTAATTGAGCAATTTCTTTTATTTATCCTGTAACTAAAACCCAGTTGAGTTTTTCATTTTTTTTTTAAATTAGCAAAAATAGTAGTTTTAATATATAATCACGACAACGCAATATTCTTCGCAGTTAAAGAATTACAAACAGAAATGCATCGCTTTTATTTTCCAATATTTGTTTTAATGGAATTCTTAACATATCCTCTGTGAAAATTTACAAATGTCTATTACGATTCAAACTTTTCATTATTTATCGTGATATTATATTGTATATACAGACAGTGGAGGCTTCTGTTAGTAAGTTATCGTTGATGATTTGACTGTAGTATGACGTAGCGTGATAGTAGGGTGTCTTGGACACCCTTTGTTTGTGTAACGAACCCGAAATATGTATTTGACAGGTCAATGGCCTGATAAATATATTTAAAGAAGTATACCTCACCCCTTCACTTATTTACTTTAGTATTTTTTGCCGAACGTGAAACTACTTGACACGTTTATATTTTTAAAGCAACAGTCAAATGCATAGGGTTGCAAATGCAACTTTACCTTTTTGATTTTTTCAATAGATAATAGGGTTTTTAAAACAATCAAGAGTAAATTTTTAGATAAAAGTTTAAATAAATATTTACTATGGACAAATAATCACATTAATCAATCAATAAATTATTATTAAATATAATAAATTAATTATTTAAAAGCGTTTAAAAGTATTGCTACGGAAAATACTTCAAAAGACATCGAGAATAGATATTTCTTCTTTTAATATTGAAAAACAAAAATTAATATGTATTAATATGTATATAACATAAAGTTAATGAAAAATATCATATAATATAGATATAAAAGGCAACCCTAGAACAAAATCCCCTCCTTGCAAATACGAGCAAGTTGACTGCTGAACCCACCATGATGGATGTCCACCAACTGGCGTCCGGCACAACACAGGGACACTTGATCGCAATAAATTTAGATTATCGAGCCTAAAAGCCACAACTATAAAAAGAGTTCATGGTCCAACAATCATTCTTCAATTGAACTTCTGTATATTAAATAATATAAAAACATAAAAAACAGCAATTCTTATAATAAATATTCTAATGAGGTTAACGGGCGAACAATATAGCTAAAGGTACACGTTAATTTGTCTTTGATAATGGCATCTTACAAAATCCACAGATTTCAAATTAACCTGCTCAACCTTCATCCAGCCTTAATTACAACTTTGCAAGAAAAGACTACATTAATTACTCAATTTGTATATCATAAACTAACTGTGCCTCGTGGGTTCGCCAATCGTGTAGTTAGAAAAAAACCGCGTCGCGTATTGTCTATTTACAGTCCGTATTTCTAATATGTTTTCATTATATTCTATATGAGTTTATTCTTGTCTAAACTTGGTTAGTAGCTTCTTGAAATTTACATCCATAATAAATAAATGAATTCAAGTAAATTTTACACAACATCACGAACTTTTAATGCTCAGATTCCAACATGAGTTCCAGTACTATGGAATATCTGAGACAACGAAGTACCACAACACCCAAACCCGATACAATATAGAACAGTTTATTTTCTACATTAACCGGGAATCGAACCTTAGAGCTAGCGACACCTTCAAACCGACATGCGAACCACTCAGTTACAGAGGTACAATAGACTTGACTTATTAATTTATCGAATCACGGTGTGAAATTACCCTGCTAATTTTCAAAATTATAACATACATAAAATTATAATGATAACAGCTGACCCGGTACAATTCGTACCGCCATATACCCGTTTTTTATAAATTATATCTTTTTATAAATTTGTACTGACAATAAGGAAGACATAAAAAAATAATCATTCAATTTGATGCAATCATTTGGAAGTTATACGCGTACATACATTTTGGCGATTCATTTTTATATATATAGACTAGCTGACCCGACAGACTTCGTCCTGTCAAAAAGATTTGTAATGTGGCAGTTTTTTTGCCTACGTATTTAAAAAAAATCTCCTGAACAGAACCGTCACCCTGGTGATAGGGCGTTGTGAATAAAAAATAATTAAATAAAACATATATAAGGATTTAAAAGTAAGTAATCGCTTTATTGTTAATCATGTGAATCATAATTATTATTGCAATGTATTAATAGTAATAGTATTAAATATAGAAAAAAGAGATTTTTATGATCATAAAAACACATTACACACAACAGCATTATAAAAGTAAACTATTCGAATTAAAAAAATATATAAACATTCTCAAGGAAAAATGCTGGAAGAATCCATCTACCTGTACCCCGGAATGGGACTCGAACCCATTCGCGATCCAGGGACTGCTCTAACCAATGAGCTATCTAGGACCCAACAGCTTTGCTACTACAGAGCGTATTTTCATCAATGTTCCGGCAATACATGTAATGACGTGGAAACTGATGCATTTTATCTCGCGTGCCGAAACTAATACAAAAGAAACGCGAGTTTCGGAACGCGACATTAAACTCCTCCAACTATGTATTCTGTGCTCCAACGAACACACGTACATTGTTTTGTGATAGATATGATCTTTGACGTTAGGAACACACCTACATTGCTTAGACAACTGTGAGTGCTTGTAATTTAATATGAACTTTATACCATAGCAATAAAGCTCAAATTGACTACGTTTTAGTTACAAATCATTTGTATGGGAAAAAGAAAAGGGCTATTTTTAGGGTTTTTCCAGCAATAATTCTAATTTTTCTCGCCGTAAAAACCATCCTTGAACTTCAACGAACATTTTAAAAAAAGATTTGGCCAAATTGGTCGAGGCGTTGTTGAGTTATGCGCTTACCAACACATTTTGCGATTCATTTTTATATATAAGATAGATTATGACATCGAGTAGGGCAAAGTTTCAAGAGCGGAGTACTCATCTAATTGATCTTGAAATTTTTTATCAGAATAGCGCTCAATAAACAATTGGAATGATGCCTGAATAAAAATAATGAATTCTACTTAGTCCGTCAGTCAATTTAAAAAGAAATGGTTTAGATGAAATAATAAGCATTAAAGTTGAAGAGTGGAGGCTCGTTTGGTAGGTATTCGTAAAGTAAATATTCGTTATTCTATTACTTTAAAATAGATGAAAATTATATTTTAATCTCGATATGGTTTCTTAGTAGACAGATAATACATTTTATGGCGTCAAAGATTCTGTACAAGTTCGTGAAAAACTTTAAAGAAAATTCCAATGCACTTTTACTGTCTCAAATATCAGCGGTTCATATAATTGAGACTTTACTTACGTTTTATATAACAAAAAGGAATTATACCATCCCTCCCAGTTTATCCAAATTCAGGCTGATTCAGATATTTTTTTTATGGGACACTATGTACGATGCAACTTGCATGTCGATCTATGGATAAGCCACTCGGCGCTTTATGTCCGTATGGCACGACACTAGTCAAGTTTATTTATGGTCTCTATTGAGGGTTTTGCATGACATGTCATATTTTTGACGACCGACGACCTCTGTGACTACGTGGCTCGCACACCGCTTCCAAGATGTTGTTTTTAATGTCCCGGGTTCGATATCCGGTGGGGCCAATGTAGAAAATGGACTTTGCTACATTGTCTCTGGTCTAGATATAACGTTACCTTCGTTATTTCAGATTTCCATATCACAAGCGCTTTTGGGGTACGGGCAACGTATGTGATAATCATCACTGGCCTATTAATAACCCCAGGGCTCAGGACTTTTCTATAGATAGAATCGAATCAAATCGAATAGGGAAAATGGCCCATGAGCCGGGCCCAGTACGGGTTGATGGATGTTAACGATTGCAGACATAGCCGAAACCAACAGCTTCACCTACCTAACTACTGCGCCATCAAGATCCAAGATAAGCACATTTCTGTGTTAAAAAAAAAATATATATTTAATTTAAGTTTAAAATAAGGTTTACGTTAATTTATATAGAACCCGCATAATACGTCACATTGCGGATATGTTAACTTTTAAAGTTACTTTACTAACTGGTCAACTACATCGTGGTTATTCCGGCAAATGTCAAGGTTTGGTGCATTGCAGCAGCACATCGAGGGAAATGCGGATAGAACCATTGAATTTATAACGTCTGTGGATAAAACTTCGCTTCTTATCTACTAACAGTTTATTATAGAAATGTCTTTATTTATAGCCTATGTCCACTCCGTATGATATAGCTACGGGTACTCG